AGTTGCTGGTTTGTTAGAATTACTAAAAGACAAATTGGACATTTGTGCCCCGTCCTACCCTATTTATTTTTCACATACTATTAACATATTCCAATAAATCAAGTAATAAAACACACATACCAACGTGAATATATTCTAGTATTAAGATAATAATGTACATAAATGCTCAAGATGAATATTGAAAATAATTGTGATGTCCAGGAATATTTTATTATAAGAATGTTTGTTTTTATTATTCTGTGTATACTTGATCATAAGAGTGTTCTTATACCTGAACTACCAAAACAGAATTATAAAAAAAATCTTTTAGCTATAAAATTAATTTTTAATTTTTTATATCACATTAATAAACAAAATAAACAAATAAACGAAACCATAAAACCTGAACTGCCACGAAAGTTTATTAGTCACTTAACCCGATATTACAAAATCTAGTTACAAATTAAATGCACCGTGAATCACTTAAAATTTATCGCACAGTTTTCCAGGTCATTACGAAAATATTACGAAGACAAAGAGCCGAAATAATCATTTACTTTATGTATTTCTGGCTTGTTACAGTATAATTTCAGCCCTGTTACGAGCGCCGATATAGAGTCCGGAGTCCGGATGATTCGCTCGGTGACTCCGGGTACGGAAATGTAAGTTGAAAGTGATTACGGTGTTATAGATGATGTCTGGAGAAACGTTAGAGCCCCTGTGTAAATATTACCGAAAAAGCCACACCGTTTAGGACCGTCGGTTGTAAATATATCAATTTAATAAGTTTTTACTTCCCGAAGAAAAAGTTTGTATTTTGGATAGAAAATCCGATTGGCTAATTTTATGCCCTCGACGTTTTGCCTATCTAAATCTATTGACACCAAAAAATTATCTGAACAAACATTATATAATATTATAGCCCTATGATGAGTAGTTTAAATATAAAACTCTATTAAAAATTTGAATTACTAGCCCTCGTTTTTCAGGAAATGCACTTTGCATGTATTAGGTGAGTGCTTATTTTCTTATTTTTTCTCTTAATGATGTATTATATCTATTTTAATTTATCGAAAATAATTAACATATGTAACAATCTTTATAAAATTGAATAATCTGTAATGATTTCTAACAATAAAAGCTCCAACTGTAACCTGGTAAACAAACCCTAATAAATTAATATATTGATTAAAGTTGATTAATTATGCATTTCGAGAAGTTAATAAAATTTAACTGTAAATGAATAATATTGTTGTTTATTTACTCAAAAATTATTAGGGTAGGGCACAAAGATCCAATTTGACTTTGAGCATTCATATTGTGAAAACCAAACTAATTATATTACACAAAATAACACAGAACAAACAAACAACTATCTGACTACGTTCAGTAAAACTTCTGTGTCAGTAGAATCTGTTTTTTGCCAATAATTCAATATCTGGTCCTTTTTACCCCAAAGGCGGGGTAAATGGGACGGTCAGGGGGTAAACAGGTTCAAAGTCTTAGTTATATTATTTAACCAATGCAAAATATAAATTCCCTGGGTATATTTTCTGTAGAATTACCAATGTATATAACCTTGATCTGGTATTTTGTCAGAAACAATCATCAGCAGGGTTAAAATAACTATTTATTTAACTTATAGCTTGTAAAAGTGCTTTTTCAACTTATTTTTTTATTTTTATTTACTTTTTTATTTGCCAGGATAAAGATTGAGTTGGTCTTTTTAACCCCACCTACGTGTAAGCTTTTATAGAAGTTATATAAAAATCTGTTGAATCTAACTTAAAATTTACAAGTTTATAAAAAAAATTAATAAAGCATTATTGAGGTCTCGTAAACTAAACTACAGTGCTCACAACCAAAATTTGAATACGCAAATGCAAAGTGGTTTAAATAAAGAGTTCTAAATTTTGATTATAATATATTAGTAAAATAATTAATTTCATTTTGAACCGAATATAAAATATGATATGACTATGACTATATAGAAATTTATATCACATTTCTTTTATAATAGTTCAAATTACATGTTCATGAAAACTAATGCAATACAATTACTACTTTGTCCTACATTCAACAAATATGTCATCACAGCATTAATTTTATTTTGAGTTAATAATAGAGCAAAAATCTATTTTTAATTCACTTTTAATTCAATATTTTGCAAAATCCTGGAATAAAGCCAAACCCGTAATTACTGGAATAATTTATTTAATTGCAAAGTTTATCATGCTACACTATTTCTTAAATTATGTTAGCAAAAATTCTGGCAAGTGGTCAAATAAAATCTATAGATTTAAATGAATGCACGTATGTTTCAGATTTTTTTTTCTTAGAATAGTTTTGAGAAACCTTTGTATATAGGGTATTATAAAATATTGCATAAAAGGGTTTCCCTATATTAATATTTCGGAAATAGCTATTTGGCATGAAACATCTCTGTTGCCCAACATCTTTCATATTTCTGACCGTCATTTCATTTTCAATAGCATTTTATAGTTTTCCAAGTGATATTGAATCGATTCTACGTGCTTGCAATACTTTCGATATTTTATAAAAACAATAGTACCTGAAACGATTCTATACGTATCCGTTGAGAATATATAAAATGTCAATGACATTTTGAAGATGACACTATAAAATTTAAATTGTATTATTAGCGAATTTTTGTAATTCATGAATGTCTCAAATTCCCAATTTTTATATGATATTACATTCATTTGCCGTAATATTCAAGAATTTGTTATTTAAGTATTTTATTTTCCAAGTAGATAAATGATATGAATAACCAAATTCTCAATTTCAATGCGATTAAAAATATTCATGTGATACGTTTATTGATCTTGATATGCTAATTTAAGTTAAATATCTTATTTAAAACAAATATAAACTCGTATTCTCAATTATCTTATTATTAAATATTTGAAAATTATAAGATTTGTATGCATAATACTATATAAATAGTACTAGATATTATAATGTAAGTCATCTATCTTAAGCAAACTATCCGCCATCGGAGTAGATTTTATATCGTTTCGCAATTCTTCATTCAATATTGATTTTGAATACGTTATTATGGAATAGGTAAATTCGAAACACGTTTTACCTCTTGAGATATTTCAGCAAAAGCAGTATATTAACCAGGGTTGTAAAAATTGAAATATATTACTGTCTTGCTGCATACATGGGAGTGAAATATTTCGAGACAATTAATTATTTTATCAATTTTTTTAAGTACCTTCATTATTTAATTCTAAACTTGAAAGTGTTGTATCATTAAAATTTAAATGTATCGATTTACGTTCCATATTAATATTTTTTTTTCAGAATGAAGCTGATAAATTATTTTTACAATTATATGTTGAAAATATGTTGAGTGCTACTATTAATTGATGTATCTTATAATTATATAATTATATTTCACGATGTTGGTAATAATCTTAAAATTAGTAAATAAAATATAAAAAAATCAGTATCTAAATTGAATTAATTAACAGTATTCTAGTGTTAAGAAAAAAACAACATGACATTCTAGTTATCAATGATTTAAAATAAAATATATTAACTATAAAACGTTCTTCATAGTCAAAAAATAATCTTGGCTAAATATTGGCCTACAAATTTTTATTAGTTAATTATTCAGATTTAAAAGTATATCTGTAAAATGAATTTTAACATTACATTGCTTTATTGACTATTTGTAAAATTATGTAGATTTAGAAGAAATCCATTCCTATTTCATGTTATGGTTAAAAAAAACAATACGAAATTTTATCCCAGTATGAAATATGAATCGTTTGACTATTAAGGTTATGTGTACAAAAAACTGTTCAAAATTAAATTATGTTTGGAGATGCAGCTATTTGACCCTGATAATACTTTTCTGTGTCCATTCTTTTGCAAAACTTTAAACGCGTAATTCTCAGAACTGTCTTTTTCAATATGATGTTCATGATTTTTGGAGTTCTACTAGACTGATTTATCTGATTTTTTTAGAGAATCTTCCTTATAGACTTCTCTCTTCAGTTTATACTAGCCTCATCCCCAAAATTCAATTTTTACTATTTAAAAAAAAATCGAAAAACTCAAAAAAAGAGTTAAAAAAACGGTCCTTTTTTCAAACTCGTCATTTTATCATTTTTTTTTTAACTTAATCCTAGTAGATGCCATCATTCTAGATCAATAATTGTTTTAAATTTCGAATAAAGGTTGCAATCGTGGGCTTAATCACGTACCATTTTGTGAGATTCCCTAATTCAACAACTGCTAATTTTTGAAATCATTATCATTTTTATTAAAATAAATCTGTACTCTTGTAACCTTGATAAATTATAAAGCAAATAATAGTAAAAAATCGATTGCCTTTTTATGATGATTTAAAATGACCTGAAATTAACCAATCCGATATATACCCTTAACCAATCCTATTCGGAGATACAACTGATTGACCATGATAATTCTCATCTGTTTCCCTATTTTTTGCAAAACTTTGAACGTGTTTTCAACAAACCTGTTCTACTACACCAATTCAGTTGAAATTTATAGAAAATCTATCTTATAGACTTCTATCTAGCTTACATCAGCCTCAACACCAATTTTCAATTTTTAATATTTTAAAAAAATTCGAGAAACTCAAAGGCAAATGGTTCTTTTTTCCAAGCAGTCACCATTTTGTCTATCTTTTTTAACTTAATCTAAGTATTGTGACATCATTTTATATTAATATTTTTTGTAATTCGGAATACTATGAAGTGGGCTACAGTGGGCTTGGTCAAGTGTCAATTTTTTGAGACACTATACTTTAACAATTGATAATTTTTGAAATTATTAACATTTTTTACCCCTTCTTCTGTACCATTGTAACGTTGATAAATCATAAATAAAGATAGTAAAAATTGTTTGCCTTTTGTACGAAGATTTCAAAATAGCCTAAAATTTATATCTTTAAACTAGAATATCTCCTTAACCAATCCTGATCTCATGGACTATTATTAAATTTGTTACAAAATGTGACTTACCTTCATCATGCAATACTGAGATGCGCCTATCATTGGTAACTCTGGCCGAGTCGGCGGTAAGCACTTGTCCTCTACCAGTCTTCCAGAGCACGGTGTCCGCACCTCCTGGTGCGTCCGAGGTCATAGGTCGGATCACGCACGTCAGCAACGCGTCCCCGCCTTCGACCACGGCCACGGGCGCTCTTTCTGAAATCATACCAAAGATCAGATCAGACAAGTATGATGACCGAATGTCCAGCCAGCCGTGTGACAGGTCTCTAGTGTAACTACGGATGTAAGACTTTAGACTAGAGTATCTCGTGTGGGATGATAATAGCTTCTGCTTGAGGAAATTTGTATGAATTGATTGTATTTTGGGATCTGAGATGTTGCAGATTTATGGTTTATACAGGTATATAGATTTCTGTTTGATATGCGGAGGTAAAACGGGTTGCTTAGTGTTTCATGTTCAAAATTTCATAATTTATTATATTATTGCTATTATTAACTTCACGTAGGGTAAGTTATAGTAATAAAATCATTAATCGCATAAAAATGAAAATCTTTATATATCTCTACGTTTCAAAGGCTTTTGAATATTTTAGAAGAAATTTACTTAGAAATACTTAGGATGTGTATGTGTGTGTGTCCGTACATGTGTGTGTATGTATGTACGAATACAATTTTTCATCGACAATTTCGAGACCGATTTGAATGATCCAAGAATCATTTTATTCGTATAGACAAAATGAAAAATTGGAGAGGCAGGTCTAGCGGTTTCGGAAATGCCATAAAAAAGTGAAAAAAATGCCATTTAGCGGACAAAAGAAATCGATTAGACATATGCACATCACATTATCAGATGTTTTATAGATATTTTAATAATAAAAACAAATTTTGTTCACTTTGCTTTGAAAAAAAGGTTCAAAATTTCCAAAAATATTTAAAATTATTTTTATTTCGAATATTTCCAAAGTATAGAAAAAATCAAATTTTTTAAAAAGGTCATTTTTTTCAATAATTTTAAATATCTCAAAAATCTTAAGGCACGATGCCATGCACCACGAGTTAATCTCTATTTCATGCTGAAGAACTGTTATGTACTTCAAGCTAAAAACAACAAGAAATAAAAACGATACTGAGTTTATAATTATTATAAGAACATAAAATACAATATATCAAGCCAATTATTTTATAAATCTCAAAAATCGATTGTTTTCAGAGTTCTAAAAGAAAATTGAATCTTTCTTAAAAATTTTAATTTTTAGTACTGGATTTGCTTTAAGGCACGATACCATGCACTACTAGTTAATCTTTGTTTCATGCCGAAGCACTATTAAGTAGTTCGGGCTAAAAAAAAACAAGAATTAAATACAATCCTAAGTCTATAATTATTATAAGAACAGAAAATATAATATATTAAGTCGTAGGTATATTATAATTATGCATTCGATCAGCGACAGTGTACTGATGCTAATAAAAACAAACCATAGTTAATACAAAATATTTTTATTTTTTATAATTATAGTTAGAAACAAACTAATTATAGTCACAATAATTTTTATTATAATTCTTTCTATTGAGCAAAATTTGATCCTTCATTAGAAACTATTTTAATTACGGTGGAGCGATCGTGTACTTTGTGAGAACCTTGAATTGAATTGAAACAAAAATATTTTTTTTGTTTATACATAATAAATAAAGACGCATTTAAATCCAGAAAAGTCTTCTGTTTCAATCTCCAAGCCTATCCACCGTTTATCAACATGCAATTCTAAAATAAAACATATATGAATTCAAATTGACTCACACATAGCTTTCTACATAAAGAGCACATGCGATGTATGAGCAAATAAAAAACATTCACTCTGCACGCAAAATGTAGAGAAAATCTTTTTCGCCGTTTCCATTTTATTTATCTAAATAATTCGTGTGACGATGTTGTGATATTTACATATGAACTGAAAATTATAACGGCGTCAAATTGAGTTTACACTCCGTATACGGGACCCGCATATGCATATGGAAAATACTGATTCTTTTACCAAAATATAAATAGAAACGCATAATAGAATATTCATAAAATCAGAATTATTTTGCTTGTCACTTTTTTGTGCGAGTAAAATTTGGGAACGTATATCACTCACACATAGCGCTCTGTAAACAAAAACACTGAATGATTCTTTTTGCAAATTTGTAAATAAAAACTATTATATAATTAAACGATTATTAAGCAGTTTTTGATTCATTTCAAAGCTATCATACGGTTTCGCAGTTTTTATATTTGTGTGAAAAACACATGAATATAAAAATGAATTCTATGTACTAGCAACGTCGATCGTTCAAAATGAAATAAAGCTCTCGGCTTGTAGAGGATTTTACTTTGTAACGGATTAAGCCATTAAGCTCGTTCTGATATATTTTGCAATATTTTTATTATTTTCTGTTCCAAGTGCTATTGTTTAAAACCGCACTACAATTTTGAGCTTGAAAAACAGTATATCAGAGATATAGTTTGAGTGGATATATAACTAGAATGAAATATGTGGAAACAGAATGAATGTACTTCATCAAAAGCACAGAGATATTTGCAGAAGTGCTTGAGTTACTAAAGTCAAAAAATGAGTATTATAGTTATTTAATTAAAATATTATAAATAAAAATAGAACAATGTAATGATATGCATTTTTATTTGCAATAATTTTATTATTCAAATTACTTTCAACGTTCAAACTAATCAATAATAAGACTTGAACTGATTCACCAAAAAGATATGTTGGAACTACAGTAGTTTGTCATTGTCCTTTTTTACTATAAACTTTCAGAATCTATAAAGTAGACAAAGAAAAGAGATCAAAGTTCCCTAAGTATGTTTTGTAATAAGGAACTAACTACTTATAGCAAAGGATGCTTCGCTGTGATTAATGATCCTTTTTTTAGTTTAGCGTTAACTTCCTCTTTGAAAGCTAACCTTTTTGCAGTTTAATGTAAATTGCTGTGAAATTTGTAATTGATTATACTTAATAATATTGCAATGGCCATATAAATAAAAATTGTATTCGGCATTTAAAAGCTAATAATAATCTAGTATTTTCAAAGTGCCTGAAATGGGAAAATTTTGCTTTAAAGCAAAATACCAAATAATTTTTATTAAATATTTCTCATATAAATTGGGTTTTAAATGGGCGGCTCATTAGAGCTGACAACAATCAAAATGACCTATTACAATTACATATTACTTATCCTCACTTAAAGAAATCATTACAATATATTGTCGATTTTGATTCTTGGTGACATGGGAAATGAATTTTTAAATATCAAACATCAAAAATCGTTTTATTACTATTATCATTCATTTTCTTCTTCAAAGGAAGAAATTCTTTCTCCTCAAAGTAAACTGAATATGTACATATTTCGGTCGCTCTCAACAACAAACTCGATCACAATATCACAATATTATTTCGGTTCTACGCCGTAGACAATATTCCTCCTAAATTCTCATGCTGATGGCATTGCTTCGTGTAAATTTATGACTTACTGAAATATACAACATCTACGTCTACGGCTCATATATTTTATTACCGGTAGCATTATGCTCCCTGCCGCACAAAACTATAAAAGAATTGTTGTGCAATGTGCATTATGATGACGGTGCATGGCGAAATTTATAAACTTGGGCGAAAAATAAGAGGAAATAGTAAATCAACCGGAGTTTCGGATTTATTTCATTCACAAAAACATTATACTAATTCTTACACATTTTAGTAATACAGTAATAGAAGGAACCACATATAAATAAAATACATAATGTATATAAAATAAATAAATTTCAAAATTTAACTGACTTCTTTTAAATATGAATAATAATTATTTAGCCTCTGAATAGTAGATATTATTTCTGACAAGCTCCATACGTTACTTCTGGACACTGTATAAAATCAATGATAATTTATTTATCAATTACCAATTTGAATAATTTGTAATATGTTCCTGCCAATATATGTTAATCTGCACGACCGATAATTTGATCTGAAATTTGATCATGATTGACAAATAAAGTTATATGCAACTACGCTTGAAGCGTGGGTATAATCTCGTATTAATTACTAATATTGTTCGTAACTACAATTAATATTTAATAAAGTTAGATTGTGTATCAAAACAATGAGAGGACATCATATTATTATAAATAAAAGAAATAATTTATAACTCGTCTAAAAAGAAATATGTCAATCATTAAATATGTCCAGCAAAATATATATTTTGCAAATATTAAGACTCAACTAAAAATAATCTCGAATATAAAAATGTGTTATAAGTCGATTACCTGAATGTTTGGGTGTTGATCCTAGACAATATTTTAACAAATCCAGTAAGTGGCGGCAAAGAAACAGATTTTAATAACGCGCATAAACGAAAGCTTATACAAGTCATAACATTTGCATAGAAACAGTCTGGCCCGGTTATATATATTTTTATGTTTAAACGAGCCGGCGAGTAATTTACATGGAATTTATATTGCCAGGACATGAAACCAATAAATTAAGGGATTTTTTGTGTGCTTTCCCGGAATTCGGTGGATAATTACATTTGCGACGCATTTCCGGCTTCGCGTACGTTGCGCGTCTAAATTGAAAAACATATATCCACATTTTACAGATCCGCATTTTCTATCGAATTATTTAATTACAACGAATTTACTGACACTTGAGTTTTTAATGAGATAAAATACTACAAATAATTTTTTGAACGTCAAATGCACGAATCAAATTAAAAAAGTAATGGAATTTTTTCGTAATTTATAGTTTGGCCTCATCCGATTCCAATGCAAGCAAATTGGAGCTCTTTATACTTACATCAAATCTAATAATATAAAACTATAAATGAAATATACATAAAACAATGATATATACGTAAGACCAGACTTTAAGAGATAGTGTAGATATTATGTAATTTAGTATATGGCTAATGTACTAGTTTATAAAGCCAATAAATTATAACTAAAAAAAATGGCAAAAATTACAAAAAAACGACTTATCATTGTTTGATGTTGAAAACATTTGAACTACCATCTGTTAGAAATGTCAATTCACTTGAAATTGAATTTAGCTGAAATTATGAGCCTAGATATTATTAGAATATAATATACAAGAAAAATGTAATGTCTACATTATTATTGCTGAAGAGCAGCTGAAATATGTCAAAAATTAAAATAAT